AATTGCACGTCTTCTTATCATACATATCTTCTTATCATAATTCTAACTGTCGAATAAAGGCAGGGAAAAAGGAGAGAGAAAATAATTTTAAAAATTCAATAATATATTGAATATTATACATTTTTATAAAATTTTAATTTATTTCTTACTTTAAATGTAACGTAGTGTATACTCCATGATTGAAGTTTCATCATAAACTTTACGCAATCTTTTGATGCACCACATTATTTATTGTCAATACAATTTTTGCGTAGTAGTCACAAATTGTTGATATATATTCTTTCGCATACGATTTTATAAAAAAGATATGGTATTCATTTTATGACTTTATGATGCGATTTTACAATAGATTTTACAATAAAATGATACGAGCACAATTTTAATAATATTTTAATGGTATAAGTCGATCCGAATTCGCGCTTTCTTATTAAGTAATTTATTTTCACAAAAATATGAAGAAGGAATGATGAAGAAATTAAGAATAAAATAAATTTTCACAGAAATATGTATATTTTTAAATATAGATTTATTTAATTATGCAGCATGTACAATGTAATTTAGACTACTAGTCACATTCTATAATAGAACTTTTATCATAAATTTTGTACAAAGTGTTTGCAGTATCGCAGTATTTATTAGTAATACAATTTTGTCTTAAAAATGATATAAAATATTTGAATTTTTTACCAATACTGTGCGTACATTGATTTAGTTTATAGCATGCTCAACACATTGCTCGACCACAAATAAGAAGAATAGAAGGTTGGTTTCATGTACAAGTATGTATCATGTAGTGACAATTTTACGTTTTTCGTATCATATACTTTAACAAGTTCTACATTCAGATCTCGGTGATGATGATGATGGGACAGTTGACTGCATTAATCACTCAATATTTGCATGTCTCAATGAACGCCTTCCACGTAGCATGAGACAGGATTATGCGGTTACCTCGATTGTCGTTGATCGCAATTTTTATATGAGACCTAGATCGTCCACGACGATCTCGACATCTAAGAATTTATATACGCTGTCAATATCAATACATCTCCTCATCAAGATATGAGATAGCAAAGTTTCGAAGATGTATGCTGTAGAAAATAGAAAATATGTAAGTAGACCTTAAAAAAGTACATAACGTATAAAATGTATAATCAAAATTTTAAAAATTGAATAAACTTACTGTCTCTTACTTATTTTAATATGGATATCATAATCACATTTTTATGACATTGAAGTAATATATGTTCCACAACGTCTATGTATGGATGAGCTTCGTTGTATGTTCCATCAGTAACACCATAAATCGTACAATGACATGTAGGAAGATTTAAATTTATGAAATCATCAAATTCGAATCACACATTGATATTTATATATCTGTTATGTCTTATGCTTGATATACCATGTATTATTGCGAGTAAGAACGTTTCGAAATTCAAGTTCTTTATACTGTGACTCAAATGCATCATCGACGAGCAACATTGTTTATTAATTTCACAGAATAACATAAACGTACAATTCTTATTTAATGTTAAAATATAACATCCTCACAGACGTTTTTTGATGTGATGACTGCGACGGTAACTATTCACTGAGTGGTTGATGTATTAGAGCTGTCTTTTATGCGTTTTTCCATTTCATTATTTCTATATATCATTATCATTATTTTTTTATTTTTTTATTTTTTTATTTTTTTTATTTATTAATTTATTTATTAATTTTTTTTTTTTGGATGGTATATTTAATATGGAATTTTACTTATCTTTACAAATATGCGAGTTAATTTTCATCATCAATTCAGTGTAATTACCATCAAGTCTACATTAAATTATGCAATGACACATATTGTATATAAGAATGCACTTTGACGAAATCGAATCTTTTATATGTAAGGGATCAGCGTCAGCGATAATAAAGTCTGTCTATTTCCATAGTCTTTTCAAAAATGAGTTTAGGCAGTGTATTCAATATGGAATTTTACATATTATCTTTATATAGTGTTAGTTTTTCAGAGTAATGTTATAACGAATAATATGTTTGCATAGAGATATACATCACCGATATTTAAGTTATCCTAATTATAAAGAATTCATTCCTCACATATCTTTAATGTTAAAAACGTTATGATATCTTTTTAAAAGTAATAAAAGACTAACACTGTTGGTCAACTGATAACCCTTAGATAAAAATAATTACTTTATTTCTTTGAACGTTTGCACGGTCTGGTACGTTCACTGCTACAATATCAAATTATTGCTTAATAACAACAATCATTGTTATAATAAGATTGATTAAATTGCATTACGGTTCTATCTCATTATTGTGATCAATCATAAATTTTCTATTGATACAACGATAAATTCGTTATGTTAGCTATCATTTCTAAATATATTTCATACAATTAATTTAGTCCCTTTTATCATTCTTTTTATTTTTTGTTTTATATGTACCTTATAAAATTTAATTATGTTAATTACAGGAAATATTAATTTTATTTATAAAAAGTTCCTGATTTGACATGGTTATAAATATAACTTTATTAAGAAATAATATATGTATGCATATGTTGTATATGCTAAAATCATATAAAAAAAATTTTATAATTAGATAAATAAATTTTAGTTCCATCAATTAAGTAAATGAAATCTTATAATTGACCAAACTAAAGTAGATCTTATTTAAATATTTCAGTATGAATTTATACAAGTACACTAGACAATTCTATAAACCGTGCAATAAAGTCCTTTCCAATCCTGAAACGCAGTCATGACTAGAATTATAGTATTAATAGTATTATAAAATGTTATATTATAATTGTGTGTTCATACTTGTTCTTTTGAAAAAACAATGTTCACTCATCAGTTGTTAGCTTTCAATATTATTTAAAGCGAACTATTCACATTCTATAATAGAAGCTTTAATTCATAAATTTTGTGAAAAGTACTTATAACACTGAATTTATTTATAACACTGATATTAATACAACTTTTGGCATACAAAATTATTTAATTTTTTCACTCGTGCCATTTACATATTCACACAATTCAAAGTATACATGCTTCATGCAATTTTTCGTTCAAACATAAAAAACACAGTTGACTTCATGTACATACAGATATGTACCAAGTTATGACAATTTCGCATTATATGCAATGCGTATTGCAACAAATTTTACAATCAGAAAGATTTCAAAGATTCACGTGAAAAAAGCAATTGCAAGGATCAAATAAATAAAATAACAATCATTGCCGGATTCATATCTTATAGTTTGTAACATCATAATTTATCTGTATTTGTATTGAAAGTGACCCGATAAAGATTCAGACGTTGTAATGGATTGCTCAATTATTATTAATTATTTAATTTTTGATCGGTAATATTAAACAAATTCATACATACGTACTTAAAGTACATATGTACATATTTAATTTAATTTAATTTTTAATTTAATTTATTTGTGCATTATTTACAAAATAACAAAAAACATTACGACCACAGAATTAAACGAGAAAAAATTAAGTGTTCAAGTGTATAAAATGGTGAGATACCAGCAAAGTCTGCTGCTCTAACTCTTACCAGAAAATGAGAGTAAAGAATTACAGTGTAAAAAGCGCCAAAACGAACATAAAATATAAATTTACAATACAGTACGAAAGTTGGATTATAGAATAAAAAAAAACATGACATAGCATAAATTTAAGATACATTAATTATTGAAAATTGAATACAATACTGAATACAATAGTAGTATATTAATACAATACTAATACAATAGATTGGTAGTAGTAAAGTAGTAAATCGGTAGCATACAATAGCAGTGCGGGAAGGCTGAGAGATGACACAGATGCGAGAGAGAATGTTTGCGACTAAGAGATTCAGCGTTCAGCAAAAAATAAAAAACGCAATATTGAACATACGTACAAATATACGTATAAATGTTTGTATAAACGTACGTACCTTCATACGTACATTCAAACATAATGAACTATCATTCCAATTACACTTCTTTTTGAAAGGTTTTATTCTAGTAACCACTGCAAAACGAGTCCGTCAAGAGTGGCACCGTGGATGTATGATTAGAATTTAAATTTACAGAGAATGTACCCGCGAATACAACCGCCTATTGCCTTATCATACATGATCACGTGATCAAATATAATGCAATGTCAAATGTAGTACGCAAGATTACGTAAATCATCATCAAAAAAATATTCTCCAGTAGATACAGTAGTTCTGGATCAATTCGTGTTAGTACGTATACGTATATGCGGTGTGTGTGTGTGTGTGTGTGTGTGTGTGTGTGTGTGTGTGTGTGTGTGTGGTAAGAGGATCCGAGAGTGGGGGAAATAAAACGTTGCTAGACGAGGCGTTCGAGGGAGGGGTCTGACATCAATAGGCAAGGAGACCGAGGAAGAGGGGACGACGTCACTGTGCGAGGGGATCGTGGAAGGGAAACAGAGCCCACCATGTGTCTCTCTTCCACTCATTATAAGGTGCAGTTCTCTCCCTTCAACTCGTTGTAGCTCTATACTTACTTATCTATACTCTCTCGCTTCCTCTTGTTACAGTCCCATACCACGTTATTCGCGCGCTCTCTTTCTCCCGTTGCAGTCCTATACTTACTATCTTACTCATGCTTTCTCGCTTCCTCTCGTTGCAGTCTCATACTTACCACGTTATTTGCGCGCTCTCTTTCTCTCATTGCTGTCCTATACCTACCTATCGTCTTACTCATGCTCTCTCGCTTCCTCTCGTTGTAATCCTATACCTACCATATTATTCGCGCTTTCTCTTCTTTTCCCATTGTATTCTTCCGCTCATTGTCTTTTTTCTCGATTAAGATGGGTATTTAATGATTTTTAAATAATATGACTTAGCGTCTAAATGTAATAATTTTTTAGTTGTAATGAGCGCCTTATCAATTAATATACGGAATATGACGAAGGAATGGTGAAAAGGTAGAGGCAAAGGAATAAATAATTTTAAGCATAAAGTAATATTTATTAATATTTATTTTTTAATATTCACATTTTTTTTATTCGTGTAATGTATGGAATACAATTCACATTCTATAACGGAACTTTTATCACAAATATTGTGCAACATATATACAGCATCGCGTTTATTAGTAACACATTCTTAAAAAAGTAATGTTCCTAAAAAGAATTGATGCAGTCGTCACTGTTTTTCGTTTTTTTCTGTCGGATAAAAAGCATTATATTAATATTTAATTATAATATTTTAATATAATATTTTAAAATACAATATTTTAAATACAATATTTTAAATATAATAATGAAATTACCATTAAGCCCACATTTCCTCAGACTCGTCGACTATGGACGAAGTCCAAATAAGAAGTGGAGATCAAAGATGTCGAAAGGCACCCAATTTAAATCGTCTTCTGAGTACTTCTCTCAAAGTTCATCGAGTGTGCCTGTCATAAAGTTTTGACAATTGAAAGTTGCGCCGATGATCTATGTTAATAAATCCCAGTATCTTTATATTTTGACGCTGAACGTCCTGATAAAAATAAATAAATAAATATATCATTCATTAAAAAAAAATACATTTATATTAGGTGTACAACTTTGCTTCCGCCGTTTTTTTTTCCGAAATTCGGGGCTTTATTGTAAAAAACTGGTTATACATGGTTATTTTATGATTCAAAGTATTGTCCATCGCTGGCCACTACTTTCTCCCATCTTTCGGGTAGCGTACGAATCCCGCGTCGAAAAAACTGGTCATCTTTTGAGGCTATCCACGAATCGATCCAATTTTTTACTTCTTCATAAGACCGGAAGTGCTGGTCAGCCAGGCCGTGTGCCATTGATCGAAACAAGTGATAGTCAGAGGGAGCAACGTCTGCAGAATACGGTGGGTGGGGTAGGACTTCCCATTTCAACGTTTCCAAGTATGTCTTGATCACTTTCGCAACATGGGGTCGAGTATTGTCATGCTGCAAAATCACTTTATCGTGTCTCTCGTTGTATTGCGGCCGTTTGTCTTTCAATGCTCGGCTCAAACGCATCAATTGCGTTCGATACCGATCGCCTGTGATTGTTTCAGTCGGTTTTAACAGTTCATAATACACTACGCCGAGCTGGTCCCACCAAATACAGAGCATGACCTTGGACGTCAAAATCACCGTTCTTGAAGCGTTGAAACCACTCACGACACGTTCTTTCACTAATAGCGGCCTCACCATAAGTATTTGAGAGCATTCGATGAGCCTCAGCCGCAGATTTCTTCATATTGAAGCAAAAAATTAAAACCTCCCGCAAATGACGAGAATTTAGCTCGTAAACTGACATTTTCAATCGAGAATAACTTTATGATGCAGACACAAATCGACTAATGTTTCTATGGAGTTATGTTGACAGATGCTCAAGTTTATTGTATGACGTCTATGATCTATTTATTTCGACCATCACTTACCGCTAAAGCCATCTATAGGAAAACGGCGGAAGCAAAGTTGTACCTAATATAAAAAAAATAGTGTACATAAAAGTGCAGTTTTACTTATCAGAGGCACTATTTGTATTCCCAATTCGTTTTTTAGATGTAGCCATTTGACAGACTTATTATCGACCATTAGCACCTAAAATTAAAAAGAATTATTAAAAAATTATACTAAAAGAAAAAAATCACACACATGTATCTAAGATTCATCCTTCGAACTGGGTATTCATAAGTAATATATTTTATTTGCGACTTCTTTATCCCTTTGTCTACTCCCTATTGAGTCGCAGCGTCATCGATCTCTTCCTAAAAAATATCGTTATCGGCGCTTCTCTTAACGCGTTACAACATGCCACCATCTTCAGCGGTTCTCCCTAGATAAATATCGTTATCGACGTTTCTGACCTTGAAAGAAAGAACTGTAAGAACGCAGTATGATTTTATCATCTATCGACAGTGTTTTAGCAACCGGAACATTGATGATACGTCTCAGGTCTCCAAAATATTTTGTCCGTGTTATAGTATCGCATTTTGGGGAGGGCGCAGGGTGGCGGCAGAGTCCCAATGATACGTGACATCACATCGTGGCGGCATGTTGATATCGATAAACATCGATAGTGTCGGGACCTTCTCGCGTCTTCTCCCTCTCTTCTCCCCGCGCTTATAAATACCTCCCGCATCCCGCGCTCCACAGAGGACCTGAATTAGAAATATGCCTATTATATCTATTTACATCCTTTGACGCAGGACGCTTTGGATATGAAAGTCTGTTTTGTTGTGGAAGCGTAAAATCTGATTCATATCATAACTACATGTCAACATGCGGCGCAGCTCTTCCCTACAGTCAATGACGGAAATGACTTTTATTGTTAGTTTTGTCTGTTACTTTTTTATGACAATTTTACATTTTATTGTTACTTTTATCTTTTTTACGTATGTCAAAATCAAATTCATTGAAGGTGAAAATTCTGACCGTATGTTTATTTGATTACATTACTCAACATTACTTCCTTCACCGCGTTTTTTAAAGATGTTCATCTCTTATAAATATAATGAAAAGTAGTAATTAATTATTTATTTTAAATAACTTGTTGTTTAGTATATATTTAATATTCAAAATAATATTGTATATACATGTTGTGTACAGACAATACAGACAATATACATATGTTGTCAAGGTCATGGTCATTAATGAAGATGGCTTCATTTTTGTAAATGTTACTAAAAGGTCTTTAAGTATTTCACACTGTAATCATTTTGACGCACAATGTCAAAATAGTTTACAAAATAAATATATACAAATGTATAATACTAACCCAAGGATAGCTGCAGAAATCAGAGTGTTTAAGATAATGACGTTTGACGGGTAATTGATCAGAACACATATCGTCGTTAGCCAAAATATAGATATATTTAAAAGAAAAGGAACAAAAAGAATACAATACTATATGCTAATTGAAAAAAAATGTATACAATTAATCCGATTATTATTCGAATTATCCAGTTACATAGCCTTTAGTATTCCTTTGGCGCTCCAAGAGCTTCCAACGTGTCATCTACTATAGCAAGTTCACGTATGCACATTTTCAATTCCTTTAAAAAAATCATATTGATTGATTATGTAAAATAAAAAAAATTATTATTATTTTATATTTGAGTAAAAATTGTTATTGCAAAATGTGTACAGGAAATAAGCACATAAAGAGTTATATTATAATAATGTAATCATTAAAATTGATGTGCTCAAAAAAATTTTTTTTTAATTTAATTTTTATGCAAAGTTTTATGAAAAAGATTATAAAATAATAGACATAAACATAAAATATGATGCAATAGATTATAATAGCAAAGGTTCAGCGTCAGCAAAACTGCTGTTCCAAAGTCTACCAGCAACAAAAAACCGGGAATAAGACAATGATTGCAATGGTGAAACAATAATTAAAATCATACACACACGCAAGCACCCACACATGTCATGTGTTACATCAACTTCACTTAAATACTGTGAGTGACTCGCGATGAAACGCGAGGCAGCAGAACGAAAGGGGAACAAAGAAATTTTATATAGGAAGAGAATTAAAGAGAATTAAGAGAAAATATTTGACTGAGATGTGTGTAGGAGAAAGCGGCACGGAACTTAGTGGAATGATGAATGGGATAGGGTAAGTAATCTTAATACCTGGTGACAAGGGGGTTAAAAGTAAAATGAAGTTCAGAGTTCAAATGAAAGAGGCGTCTTAGATATAGAGGAATATTGGAGTGAAAGAGAGAAAACGAGATACCACAGATGGAGAAAAAACGTTGCTATTCTAAGCCAGCTAGATCTTATATGAAGATATATATGGTCGCAATATTTACGGACGCAATAAGAAAAGTGGCAAAGGTAGGCAAAAATTTTGGATATGCTGTACACGATTTAGAAATTGTTAATTAAAAGCTGGAACGTAGACGACATCGACATAATCAAATACGTCAAAATAACGAGTAATTGAAAAGTGAGGAATTTTGAGAGCAGGAAAAAATGTGTAAAGGAGATAAAGAAGATATAGACGAGCATAAGCAGCCCGACTTGACGGCCATATATTACTAGGGAGAACGGCAAGAAGTGAAAAAAAGAAGACAAAGAATTATATTATATTATGAGAACTTGTTGCATGCGATTTGTAAGAAAGCAGATTAGCGAGAGGGCTGAATGGCATAAATTGCACTTAACTAAAAAGTCAAGATGACTAGATCATTGACATTATCAAAAGCTTTTTATAAAATTTTTTTATAATTTTGTATTTGCTTATAATTGTAAATTTAAAATCTCCTTTAATACTCTCAATTAAAAATACTATTAAACAAAAGATAAGTAATATTAAAAGATTAAGTATTATTATATAGGGACCGGGAGTACATTTAAAAATTTTTATCTTAAAACGACAAAAGCCAATGATAATTGTTGTAGTGAGAATCAACGGGAAGAATTCGTTTATGTATATTCTGTTATTCCAATGCCAGATGAATCGTGGATAGTAAAAAAAGTATACGAGAGAGCCCCATTTGGCCAAAGCATATAAACAAGAGAAATATGGCCTAAGTTGTCCACGAGGATATTCAAACATGTCCAAATTGCAAAACGATCCAATAATCAATAATGGTGTCAGCACTCTTTCTAGCATCTCTATCATTTTTCTATCGCCTAGTATTTTAACTGAATTAGTTTTTGCTGAAACGAAACACAAACACGTATTAATATTTTTTATAAGAATTTCAGAAATAGTTTATACAGTTTCTCTAGGAACTTTGTAAGTACTACGCTGTAAAATATGTACACTTGGGGATGTATTTATATGCCGTTTAATCAGCAAGTATTGAACAACAGAATGGACATAGATAATCTAGATTAGATACCTTTTTTTTCGCGGAGTTTTTATTTATAGATATGTAGATTAAGGCCACTAGTTATGGATCGTTCTAGAAAAAAAAAGTTCATATTTTTATTCAGAAAGATATCAAATTAATAAAATTAATTTAATAAGTATGATTGATCGTGAAGATCACATTATGGATAATTTTCTTTCAAAACGATATCGTTTTATATGTTTTAAGGTAGTACACTCGCGAATTAAAAGTATTTAAAATGACTTGAATTTGAAATTATATTATATTAGACGACGTTGACGCGCTTGTGCAATTATAATGAGATTGACCATTTTAATACTGAGATATAAGCAATTGAAAACTGCACATTTTATACGTGTGGCTTCTATAAGTTCATGAAAATGTCGCATTTATTTTTGTAGAGCCCAAGTTAGATATTAACACAAAACGAATATGTGATAGAGGATTTTAAAACGGATATTGTAAAAAAATCATAATTTTTTACAATTTAATTAGTAAAATAGAGTCACGAAAAGAATGCAATGTTTCGATTTTCTTTGATATATGTTGGCGACTAAAGAAAGTAATGGAAAGTAGAGGGAACGGCCAGCGAGCATCTAGCGCTGGCGTTTATCTGCGTTTATCTGTAT